CCTTTTCCCTTCCCTTCTCCCTTCCCTTCCCCCTTCCCTTTTTCCTTTCCCCTTCCCTTCCCTTTTCCCTTCCCTTCCGTTTTCCCCTCCCTTTCCTTCTCTCTACCAGGCTCAGGTCTCCTGTGAAGGGGTTTCCAGGATCAGGGCCCCCCACTCCTCCTGCCAGGGGTGCCAGGGCGTTCACGCCTGGCAGAGCACGCTGGTGCCTCGTGCGGGCTCTGCTGGGCTGAAGATCCCCCACAGTGACTCAGTGGCATTTCCACCAGTGTTGCTGTGGACTTCGTGGTCCTGAGCTGGCTTGTTCCTTTGTAGCCGTGCCCGTGGCTGGAAGGGATACAGCAGGATACAGAACAGCCAGAGCCGTTGCTGTGCCGCAGGTGCACATGGAGGAGATGGGAAGCTGTAAAATACACAATTAAAGCTTCCAACAGAATTACAAGTGCTACACATACACAATGGGGAAAGTAGCTTGTTTGGGGGGGTTCCAGCAGAACTGAACCTGGACCAAAGCTGATAACCACTACATGCAAGTGCCAAGTTAAAGCCCTGCTTGCTGTTTTTACGTCACAGAGTTTTTCTCTGGGTTATCCACCAGCTTTGCAGAGTAGCTCCAAGGCATTACCAGTGAACCCCCATTGCTGGGCAAGTTTATAACCGTGGCAATTTTATAAGTATTTTGTTTCTTCAGAAAAAGGTCATGGGGTAAAGGCCCGACCTTCGCCCAAGTCTAGGCAGGAAGAGCTCTATTTTGTTTTAGAAATGCCATTTGAGACATTTGATGGGGTGAATCATAAAGCCCCAAGCTTTCCAACGAACGGTGCAAACTAGGAGGAAGGTGTACAAGTTAGCTGGGACCTAATGGCAATAGTGTAATTTGAGTACTGGCATACTCCTTGGTGACAAAAGACTTTAAGTAAAAAGCAATGTCTGAAGCCGATGCAGGAAGCTTGTGCTTAAAAGAGGCCAAATCCTGCCAATTAGGGTGCAGTCACCATTCTCAACAATTTATTTTACTCATCTGGATTAGAGACTTTAGTCCGGTGTTCATCTTCTGGTAGATCAGCTGTGTTCGGAACACTGAGAGTGACTCAACAGAGTCTCTGAGAGCCTGAAACACTCCCCAGACTGAACTTTTTTCTGGTAGTAGGTTTATGTCCTGTCAATACCAGAAAACTTCTACAGAGACCGAGGTGAATATTTTAAAAACTGGAGATATATGGTTGAAGAAGAGCCATGGAGATAATACCGTGAGCTGTCAAATGCAGTGTTTGCATGTTCTGGGACTGGCATCACCTGACTGGAGACATTAGTATCCAAGCTCTCATGCCAGTTCATTTGGAATGAGATGGGTGATGTTTGTGGAGTTTCCAGGGTTAGAAACAATTTAATACAATGCTGTCAAAACTGAATCGATATGTTTCTGTGAAGCCAAATTCCTTGTAGACAACACATCAGTGGTTTCTAGTTAACCACACTTCTCACAATCACGATTTTTTTTTTTCCTCACAAGGTTGCTGCTGCCAACAGTTTTTCTCAGGAAATTGAAAATTTCAGTTTAAGACAAGCCATCCGAGAGAGGAATATTCAGGTTTGTAGTCAATATTATCCAATAACAGACACACAACTGTTAAGATGTAAACTATGACGCTAAATACACTTCTTTATCCAATAGTGGATAGATTCTTACCAATCAGATAGTCTACGTCCTCTACAGCGTACAAAAAGGACCTGGATTATCACCACCATTCCTGTTCAAGAGGAGGACAAAGGACCGTTCCCAAAATATGCTGGAGAGGTACAAACAACCTTTTGGCAAAAGTTCTTCTGAACCTCAGTAGGGTATTCAGCACCACAGATTGTACAATGAAACACCAAAGGTAGGAGAGGGCAAGAACTGTGCATCAAACAGCACCTTTGCAAAAAAAAAAACCAACTTTTTTTGTTCAAAGTCGTCTTGAGATAGAGCTGGGTAGAATTGTGTGGTGTGGGGGATATGTTGCCCCTTCCTATGGGAAGCTGCAGGCATACTCTGGGGAAAGACGACTGTAGAGTGGGAGAAGTAAGCGAGTCAATGCACAGAGCTGTGCACCTGCACATTGTGCAGAGAGTGGTGATGCTGCAACCCAGAGAGGTGTTGAGTTGGCTGAGACCAAGCCTGGAAACAGGGCCCCACCTGGAAAGAGAAGGTAAGCAGGAAGGGAATTGGTCTAAAGGCTTTTTATTTCTGTTCCGTCTTCCCTACTCACACTGCATTGTGCTACTTCTCTTTTCAAAAGCTGTTCAATAGCAAATCATTGAATACATCAGTAAAATACTTAATCAGTGGACCTGGGGTAGATGAATCTCCAGAGATTGGATTGTTTTCTATAGAAGATGATATAAATGGACGTGTGTATGTACATCGTACCATTGACAGAGAAAAGACCCCAACTTTTCAGGTAACACACTTTAAAAAAATACTTAAAACTGTTTGCAAATACTGTTTGCTTTCTCATGGCTAAATGCTTCATAAGAATGAGACACACCTATAAGAACTTCAAGTGTGTATTTTTATGACTTCCTCCTCTTATTTTGAACCTCTAAATAAATGCTAAGATGATTGTCTTAGCAGAGACCAACAGGTAACTTTCACATCACTATTGATTATAAACCTTTGTGGCATGTTTGGACTTCCACAAATATCTGTATACTTCTTTTCTATCTTTTTTTAGTATGACCCAAAAACTTGATCATAATCTAAAAAACGAAAGCGTTGTCTGAAAGTCAAATTGTGTTAGAGCTATAGTGTCCAGAACACTGAGTTATAAACCCACAAACTCCTGATCATGATAATGGCAGCAAATTGTTATGCATTAAAAAGAAAAAGGTACTACCGGAGGAGCTGCAAAGCTGTATTACTGTAACTTTACATAAGTGTATATTTCTCCTTAAAAAGCAGAAAAGTGTTCATAAGCAGTAAGTGTAATGAGAGAAATGTGGTAACAACTGTATGAGTGATATATGTGAGTGTGGGTTTGTCTTCCTCTTGCAAAACATCTTCAGTTGTGGTCTCCTTATGTTTATTCCGTGATGACTTCTATTTGTGTCTCTGTGGATTAACTGTACCCAATTGATAGTTACCGTTCCATGTTGCTTTCTGTGCTTTCATAATGAAAAAATAAATTTTGGAGAGCTGTTTATTCTTCCTTACTGGACACATGGCTGTTCTGTGGTAGACATTCTGGGCTTGGTTTTAAAGCAGAAATAAGATGTAACAAAGGAAAATTCAGCATTCGGAACTGAATCCCCTGCACATGCACAGACATGTAGCCAAAAAATCACAGAAATGCAGCTAGAGAAAACAGGATATGCTACTTAAACAACTACTTCAGAATTGGGAAGCACATGTGGAAGCATTCTTTTGTCTGGCCCCAAGGATGTTTATGTATTTTATATTAGGCAGTCATTTCAAATAACCCAGATCCAGCTCCAGGTACTGATTTTTTTTCAAAGTATTGTTTAATGCACAGGATGACCATTATGAAGCTACTGCCTTGGAAAGGTGAAATAATGACTTTGTGATGCAACCCAAAGCCAAGTGCTAGCCAAATATGACTGAAGCACCTCGAAAACTGAAAGTTTCTATTCATTCTACTCTGATACGTGTGTTGCTGTTCATTTAGATACGTTTCGATATTGTGTGCAGAAAAACTGGTGAACCATTGGACCACCCTTTATTTTTCAAGATAAAGGTTAAAGATATTAATGACAACGCACCTGAGTTTCCCAAGGAGGAATATAGTGTTACAATAAGAGAGAACCACAGTAAAGGTAAGTGCCATCCAAACAAGGGATACTACTGGTTTGTGTAGAACTACTCTCTTTTTAATTCCTTTGTCTTTCTTCTTCCTTTCTTACTAAATCTGTTCTTCTCCCTAGGTTTTACTTAAACACTCATGGGTTTAGGGACTATATCCTGTGAAGGACTTTTTCTTGCCTCTTGACTTCTTGCCTGATTAACCTCAATGTATGTTAGCACAACTTTGGAGACATTATGGAAAAGGCCAAAGTCTTTGCAGGGATAACCAGAGCCACAGGAGGAGTTATAGCTTTCCTTAGGACTTGTGTGTTCAAGAGCCTGCAGATAGGCCTGACAAACTCCATGTCAAGACTAAACACTTCTATTAATGTCTCAATTCTTCATCATAGATAAGCCAGTTTTCCAAGTTACTGCCTCGGACAAAGATGAAGACGGCACTGCAAATTCTCAGGTGTCCTATTCTCTAAGTATGCAAATGCCCATTCCAGATGGATTCACATTTAATATTGATCCTACCACAGGATCAATACTTCTGACAGGATGCCTGGATTATAAGGTGATGTATATATGGCAGCTTGTTATTGTTTAGTGCATGATGCATATTCAGTACACGTTAACCAGGTATAAGGCAGCGGAGAGTGTCACATCCAGCTTTGTAGCTGACCGGCAAAATGCGGGAGCTGCTTCTGAACTGAGTTTGAAACTTCCTTTCTTTGTTTTTTCAGACTGCCAACTCTTTCAAACTTCTGATTAAAGCCAGTGACCATGGAACGCCCCAGCTGTCATCTACTGCAACAGTGAATGTAGTTGTTGAAGATGCAAACAACCACCTCCCTGTATTTACTAGTGATAATGTAAGGAAAAACCTTATTACTTTACTGAGCCTTCCTAAATACAGTTCACTCCTTCAAATTGCTAAATATGCTCAGTGGTGGAAATAGGAACCCTCAGAACCTGCAGAACTGGGCTAAAACATGTGCAAATAAGCTTTATGTGTTAGAAGAAATACGTCTTTAAAATGTGGCCAGTAAGAGAATGCTTGACTATTGAGAGTGATAAACTTTGTTGGTTTTCTGTGTACAGCACCAGAAGGTTTTTGTCTCACTATTACCAGAAGGATGCTGACAGACTAGCTAATTCTGACATCTGAGGAGCTAAGGTGTTGATCACAATCTACTTCTGAAAGATCCTAGTTTTGATCCATGAAGACCTCAGCGCCTCTACACCTGCTTGCCCACTAACTCAGTACATGCTGATGGGGCAGTTGGGTGTGGTAGCAATGCTTCTGCTGGCACATTCTCTGTGGGTGCTTGTAGAGCATTTGCTGTATGAACGGGAGCAATTGAGCTTGCTGGCAGGAAGAGGGCTCCGAGGAGTTAAAAGCTGTAAACGGGTAGGCAGCTACACTTGAATTCATAGAAGAGCTACCCATTTTCAGGCTCTGGTGCCATTCGTAGCTCAGGTCCCATAAAGACTCTTTTTGTAATTTGCGTGTTGACACATTGTTAGGTTTAACCCTGGCTGACAGCTAAACACTGCACAGCCCTGCAGTGCGATGGGGGAGAGAATTGGAAAGGTAAAAGTGAAAAAACTTGTGGGTTGACATAAAGACAGTTTAACAGGTAGAGCAAAAGCCATGTGTACAAGCAAAGCAAAATAATGAATTCATTCACCACTTCCCATCAGCAGGCAGATGGTTAGCCATCTCCAGGAAAGCAGGGCTCCATCACACAGAATGGTTACTTGGCAAGACAAATGCCATCACTTGGAATGTCCTCGCCTTTAGCCTTCTTCCCTGCAGCATTTATTGCTGAGCACGCACCATATGGCATGGAATATCCCTTCGGTCAGTTGGGGTCAGCTGTCACAGCTGTGTCCCCTCCCAGCCTCTTGTGCACCCCCAGCTCACTCACTGGCAGGGCAGTGTGAGAAACAGAAAAAGGCCTTGATCCTGTGTAAGCACTGCTCAGAAAAATTAAAACATCCCTATGTGATCAATGCTGCTTTCATCACAAATCCAAAACATAGCACCATACAAGCTGCTATGAAGAAAATTAACTATCCCAGCCAAAACCTGTACACTCATCCAGCGTGCGGAGTTGTGTCAAGCACTGGTAGGTGACAGTATTTGAAGTTGCGAACAGTAAGAATAGATACTGGGTTACAACAGTGGGTACAGTCACCTACAAAAGCAAACACACTTACTAGTGTGTTACTATGGTAGGTCTCCTACCTGCAGAATGCTGTTTGGAAGACTTGAGGGAATAAGGTTAGATGATCTGTCAAAACAGGTTTATACAAGAATTTTGTGCTTCATCATCATTAACTCCAGGCTAGCAAAATTCCCAGCCTTCTCACAGCAGTGATCTGTTCCCTCTGCCTGAGTACATGTATTATTCTTTACATCATTTTTAAAAGTTGTCATGCAAGGACAGTGTTGTTTACATATTAGAAGGCAAGAGTCTGAATTTTCAGATCTCAACCAGTGATGAACTTATATGAAGAAAATAAACACAATTTACATTCTATTACCATCTCATCTTTTAAAACATATATATTTCTGCCTTAGGTGATTTAATTTGCATTTCTCAGCCTGTCTTTGGAGTGCCAGTTAGGCAAGCTGGTGGCTACACTGCACCATCAAAAACTTAAACCATTGTGAGAAATGTGGTGGTTTGACTGAAATAGAGTTAATTTTCTTCATGCAGTTAGAAACTTTTCTTTCTCATAGCTAGCATGGTCGTTGTTTGGGTTTAGTTCAAGAAGGAATGTAAGAACTTACTGGTATCTCAGCCATTACCAGGGAAACCAAGGTCTTCCTCAACTTCCTATCTGTCAGGTGTGGGGCAGCTAGGAAGTGGGGCATGGAGGGACAGACCTTGGCGGACGTCCAGGCTGATCCATGAAAGTATTCCATACCACCAGCATCATGCTTTGTATATAACTGGACTCAGCTTTTCCAACTCGTCACAACAGTGCTTTTTGGGAGGACTGTTCCAGGCACAACCAGTCCGGTTCAATTCTGTTCGGTTAGTTTCGTTAGTTCGGCCTTTTGCCATTCTGCCATTTTGCAGTTGGCCTTTGGGCCCTCCTGCCTTTGTGGGTCTTTGCTCTCTCCATGGGATCAGCTATTCTGGACCAGAGTGCGGTTTTCCCAGGACTGGCTGCTTGACATGGGTGGAGCTTGTGAGGAATTGCATTTTCTTTTATATATTATTAGTGGTATTATTATCAGTATATTACTATTAATATATTAGTATTATTTTGTTATTCCTACTAAATTATTTTTGTCTCAACCCACGAGTTTTCCCTTTTGTCCATTTCTCCTCTTCGTCCTGCTGGGGGGGAAGGAGAGGGGTGAGTAAGCGGCTGTCTAGGGCTTAGTTGCTGGCTGGGGTTAAACCACGAACGGAAATTACCTAAAATCTCACATGTACTTCCTTCCTACAAGGTCAGGTGTGTAACATCTGCAGACTGGTTCTGGCCTAAGCCTGTATGCACCAGTATCTTCTACATGGCAGAAGACAATCCTGGATGAAAAGCCCTAGTGGCATTTATGGGCATATTGCTATAGTCAATATTAGGAGAGACAAGTAGTCTCCTGGTTTTAGACAAAGATCAGGTTTAGTAGTAAGTTCTTTATGAAGTCAGTTGGAATATGTTGGAGGAAGGTGAGTTCTGTAACTCCCATAGGGGTTCTCTGTCACTGAGTGGGGACACATGAACCACTGTGAACAACCACAGTGTGTGCAGAAGTAGCTCCCCATGATCTGGTGGTGGAACTCTGTCTCAAAACTGGCTAACAAGCTTCTTCCTCTTTAGAAGTAGTCTTCACTTGTTTCATTTCCTCTCACAGTACCAGCTACAGATTTCAGCAGGTCAAGAACATCCAGCTGTACTACGGCTCCAAGTGGAAGATAAAGACTTTCCCAACACTCCAGCTTGGAGAGCAAAATACAGATTAACAAAAGGCAATGAAAAGGAACAGTTCACCATTGAGACAGATCCAGACACAAATGAAGGCATTCTGAATATTATCAAGGTAAAGAGGCAGTGATAGATGAGCTACAGCATGGCAATGTTTAGTGGAGCCTGTCTGATTACAAGACCAATAGCTTAGAATCTTGCTGAGTTTGGTGAGCTCAGCTCACCTCTGAGTTCCAGGTATATAGAGATGACTGCCAAACCAAAGGTCATAACTGCTAATCAGACTTTTGTCTGGGTTTTTCAGCCTCTCGACTATGAAGATGGCTCTGACATGAGACTCGTCATTTCTGTAGCAAATGAAGAACCTTTCTTCTCATGTAAAAATGGTATTGTGATGATCTCAAGCCTAGAATCCATGAATACAACTGTGAACATAAAGGTCTTACAGTCACAAAGTGCTCCTAGGTTTCATCCTCCTATGCTTATTGTCCAAAAAGAAGATTCAATGAAGCCTGGGAGGGTATTTAGAAGGTATCCTGCCACATATCCAGATGGTGTGCCAAATAAGATAAAGTAAGTGGAGATCCTTCTAAATCTCAGAATAAGAAATAGCTTAGGAATATAATGAGGTTTTCAAGTTTAATTTGGTGTATGTACATATGTAAATATACATATGCGTACATATATTTACAGTTATATGACCATATGCATTAGAGGTGCAGGTTTACTACTGATGATACTGCAGATCCAGATAGCTGGTTCTGTAAGATACAATTTAAAGGTGCAGTCAGTCCTCAGTTGCTCAATGTTTCTGTTGTTTTCGAAATAGTTTTGCCTAAAACTAGGTTGCATTAGTTACATTGTACTTTTGACAACAAAATTTTGATGCTGTAGAAAGGACTAGGTTATGCTTGGCTATAAGAATGGTAATCTGATGTGGAAATTAGATACTGCCTTAGCCCCTAGGAACAGTTTTGATGGGCCTGTACAAGGTATGGGGACTTGTATGGGCTGTGTTGAAACACACAGCTTGTCATAGTAAAACAAAAAGTAAGCAACAAAAGTAAGCATAACTACCAAGTAAAAATACCTACTGAGCTCAAAAGGACAAAGACAAGTGCAGCAGAAATTTTCTGTTCTTCAAAATCCATTTAAGAAAATATGGCACTTGTTACTTTTTCCTTTCTTTTTAAGATATGAACTAGCCCATGACCCAGATGGTTGGCTGAGTGTGGATGAGAATTCCGGAGTTCTTACTGTGGCAAAAGAGTTTGATCAAGAATCCTCTTATGTGAACAACAGCCTGTACACCATCATTGTTCATGCCATTGATCATGGTAAGTAACCAGTCAGAAAATACTCGAGCAGTGTGTGGGCTGTTTGAGATGAGGTGCATGTTAGATAAAATGATAGCAAGACTGTGGATCTGGGTGCAGAATGGTAATGCAGAATACCCTAATATTTAAAACTTGTGCTGTGTGCCTAATAGGATAAACCAGACAGAGATCCTGCCAGTGAACTGGCTTTTGTCAATACCCAGTTACGAGTATTTTTCTGTTTCTTTTGCTCCTATCTAGGTGTTCCACCACAGACTGGTACGGGCACCATCCTGCTTTACTTGTCTGATATTAATGGTCATATGCCAACATTAGTGGCTCCTTTTTTAGATGTATGTGACAAAAAAGTAGGGACACCGCTCATTATAAAAGCTAAGTCTGCTCCGGTCTATTCACATTCTGGGCCATTTACATTTGAGCTGGCTGAGGACTCCGAAGATATGAAGCATAACTGGAAATTAGGAAGGAACTTTGGTGAGTTTTTCCTTTCATGTCCTTCACGAGAAGTTTATTGTCACTTACATGCCCTCTAGTTATTTCACTGTCTCTTACTGTTATGGTTTGTTATTGATTAGTCTCAATGAGACTGAAAGGACATGGAAAAACAGCTTTCAAAATACCAAGTTACTGCAATTTGGAAAAAAGTTGCATTGTTCTTCATCTCTGCTGAGGACAGAGCAGAAGGAATGTGCTCAAATTGCAGAAAGGGGGATAAGACAACTGAGGAACCCCTTCTGCATTTGATTAACTTCCTAATGAGTTCTAGAGATTATCAGTGCAGCTATGCCAGAATGCAGCAAGACTGGGACAGATCTCTTTGTCCAGAAGGTTCGGCAAGGCGATAAAGTGGGATGTCATTTTGTCCTATTTACTATGGCGCGTTAAGGCTGGAAAAAGTATTTGAAATTGGGGTGCAAATGAGTTTCCCTTTGCTTATCAAGAGTAGGGACTGTAGAATGTCAGAATTCTTTGTATGAGTCTTAGAATGATTTGCTTGTCTTCTTTTTAGGGCAATCAGTTGAACTTTTAATGTTAAGAAGCCTTCCACAAGGTAGCTACTTGGTGCCCATGATTATTCAGGACTGGCAAGGATTTTCTACAAAGCAGAATCAGCACGTTAGGCTCTGCTTTTGCACAGATGGACATACATGCGAAGATTCATCACTTCCACAAGCAGCAGTGAGACTTGGAGGTGGTGCCATTGCAGTAATAATGACGGCTTTCTTATTACTACTGGGTAAGTAACCTCCGAACTTATGCATGCAAGTTATCTGTCATCTGCCCATTGGAGCTCATTGCAATTGCAGCTCGTGAACATGTGCTCAAATCTACCAGCCTTAACAAGAAAGACCATTTGCCGTAATGTATTAGTGTGTATACAATCAAGGTGCAAGCGGTTAATACTTGCACTCCTTGTGGCGCTGCCATCCATGTGTTCTGGTCCATGACCCATTCTCTCTTCAAATTTTACAAAGAAAGACCTTAGTTGTCTGACACAAGACATTGCCATTTCCATTTAGTAACTGAAGAGATCTTTTTTGATATCCAAGAAAACTTTGAAATTACTAGGCACTACGATAAAACGTGTAATGCAGAGGAAGGTAGTATTGAAGGCTGACAACACAGGGTAAAAGACACTAGAAAGATTAGTGAAACTTATCTGCACTTGTGTGGGGGATGTGAAAAGGTGAGGACTGTGTATTATAGAGAAGTGAAAAATGGAAGATAACATGGATGCATGGAATACTGTTGTATGAACAATAATAAACACAAGTATGTAACCTAGAAGAAAGAAAATATCTAAACTGAGAGAACAGAAATGTAATGTTAACACATGGAGTTTTTCAGCTTGTTACTTGTGAAAATCCTTATATTGTGGGTGGAAGACGACTGGCAAATGTAAATGTGTTGTTTAAGCTGAACTCCAGTACCACAAAGTAAATTGAATAAAATTGAATACTTGACTTTTTTTACATTAACCAGTTACTGGCTAACTGGAAGTAATGAGTTTTTCCCATAGGGTTACACTACATGGCAACAGCTCGTTACAGAGCTGCTTCCTCTGTAACAGCTCATGTTGTTCACTGCTGAAGAGATGAACTACTGATTCTCTATATGAAGCAAAAATTAACAGATTATCTGACCACTATTCCTCTGGTTGCCTGTGATTGATCTAGTATGTCTGCCTGCTCAGTGCAGCGCTCTGTGGAGATAACAGCTTGATTTGCTAAAGCAAGCTAAGCACTCCAGGGCAAGCATTGCATCTGCACAGCTACATTGCTGGAGGTTTCTGCGTTAGCTTGTTTGGAACTAGGCTAGGTACCTCACCAACCCATGGTATTGAGCCGTACAGATCTATTCACAATGCTCATTTCAACTTGTTTCAACAGTTTCCAGTATTCTACTTTGCTGGTTTTACGTGCCAGGATCTAAAAGCAAAGCCATTGTTCTACCTCAAGAAGGTGAACAGAGTTTAATCAACTATAATGAAGAGAGCAGGATCTCTTTATCTCAAGTAAGTGCAAAAGCATATATTCACATTACCCCATCAGTGTTTTGTGGCTGAATCTGGTATCAGTCATATCTTTTATTGTTTCCTCTGGTTTTGGTACTGAGCGAAATAAAGCTTTTTTGCCACTAAGGAGATCTGGGGAGTGGTATTCTGCATGAACTAGATAATGCTACTCTGGTGACAGACTACCATTTTTCAGCATCAGCAGGACGTTCCCAGGTGCCTCATCCTACTGATCAATCCAACAGATGGGGAGGCACATCATCTCTTGTCCCACTGCACATACTAGTGTTTTCAGCAAGGAAGTAAATGAAAGTGAAAAAGGGAATAGTCTGCAATAAAGTGTGATCCTTCACAGCCTACTTCAGTTTCTTAGTAATATCATCCCTCTCCCTGTATGCAGGCTAAACTGGATATTACAGATTATGCTGCTCTACCACCTGTTTCTGTTGAGACTGGAAAAGAAGTGATTGCTGAGGTAACTGTCCATTTCCTTATTTAAGTGCCCTTTTAATACCACAGAAATTGGTAATCCCAAGAATGAGGTTTAGTATTAATGACAGTGGGAAGAATAATGCAATATACTTCAATTAGAAAATAAATATCACTTGGAGATTCCACTGCTATTTAAAATAGTTTCGACAACTTATTTTTTCCTAACAGCTTTCAGTTTGAGACTGGTGCTTCTTTTCATTAGTTATTGTTCTAAATATTTGGAAGTGTAATTTTTTCCAGAATTCTTATCACAATACCTGAATTGATACGCACAAGATTTTATTCAGTTCTTGGTATAAGTGAAATGGAACCATTGTTCTTCAGATATCTATCAAAAACTTGCTGGTAAACATCTTCTACTTAACATACTGCAAAAGTGTGGACAGGATTTAAGAGTATTTTTATGACTACAGGATGTACTTCTGGGGGTTTGAAGGCTTTTGAGTTTGTTTTGTGGATTTTTGTACTATATTATCTAACAGATGTCTATTTTTATTGTAAAGAATGCCTGAAGGAAATTCTGCTCTGCTTCAGTAGGTGACTGCCATGTGCTCTGTTCATAAGTGCGTAGTGATCACTCTAGAGACTCCAAGAACAATCTCTGTCTTACAGCGGGCAAAGAAAATGTAAAATGGTCTTTTTTATCTATGTGAGAACCCAGTTCCACAATCCTTAAGAGCCTATTTAGGAGCTAGGATTACCTGTATGAGTAGACATTATAAAGTTCTGAGGTCGTGTTTGGTGCCGCTAATGAAAAAGAATCCAATAAATGTAGAGGAAGAAACATATTTAATTATTGGATATTACGAAGAATGCCTACAGTTGGTGGCTCCACGTACACATGGAGTATGTACTCACAAGAAGAAACAGTCCCTGAATGGAAAACGCTGCAGTGTAACTGGAGAAGACAGCACAAGAGAAATGAATGTAACAGAGAAAGATAGCTGGATTTATTTGTATCCGAAAGAAATGTCAGTGGGTGACTTTATACTGGTCAAACCTGAGATACTGTGTCTGTCTTCCAGGACAGCCTGTGTGCTAATTGCGAGACATTCCAACTAAGACACCTTGATTGCATTATACGGACAGTGGACAGAACACTGGGTCAGGTAAGAAATGAATGTTGAATCCCTCCTTTACCAAGCTGGCTTGCAAGAGTAGGAAACTTCTTCCATGCAAAACTGGAAAGCTGCTGTGGCTTCAGCTGCTCTCTCAGCCCACATCTAAGAAGCATTGCAATCAAAAGCAAGGGGTATATTTGATGGGGAGACATTGAAGACTCTTTCTTGTTGAAAATATTTTGTCTTCTAGACTTCTTGCTGCCTCTGGCTGCTCACCCAGCAGTTACTGCAAGCCTGGGGGTCTGCCACTGGGAACAAATTCTTGGAGACGGGGAGGGAAGGTGGGGCTGAAATGCTTTCTGTCGCTGTGCAGGGTTAAAATCTGGCTGCCTGCTCTTCGACTTCTGTGCTAGCCAGGAAATCCTAGTTCCTCTTGCCATGTCCTGTCTGGCCGCTGCACTTTCACAGACCTGTCCCTCATGCCTCCTTGGGCCAAACTGCATGCCTCCACGCAGTCATGGTTACTTGATAGCTGGCTGGCCCAGGGCAGATCAAATTCTCCTTGCTGCCTCATTTGTACTCTAGGGAAAGTTCACCTCTGGTGCTTATGCAGCAGAGAGTTTCAGTGAAACTTCTCCTTATCCGAGAAAGACTCATACCTTTCACTGTAACCTCCTGGCTTACCTGCCTAATTTGCATACCATGAATTCCTTTACTTTCTGAAAGGGCAATAGGAGCTGCCATGGTGATTTGTATTTTTTCTTTCCTTCTGTAGAAACTGTATTACCAAAACACACTGGAAGATTACGGGTCCATCTATAAACCTTACAGCTATGCTGAGGAAGGAGGACTAGAGCGAAGTGACTCCTTCTGCTCTGTCTCCATTGGCAGTGAGGACTTGCCTGTTGATTTTTTGAACACTTTGGGACCAAAATTTTCTGCTCTGGAAGAAATCTGTCAGAAGTGATTTCCATAATTCACTTAATTTCAAAAGGCTGTGACTACTTAATGGTGTTGCAAATGCTTCTGGCAGGAGCCCTGGCAAAATCGGAAAGTGTGCTTGAAAGTGTTGCAGTATGTTTGCACCATGAGTACCTGGCCTTTGATTCTTCCTGCCTACACTGTTTGCATGCCTGCAGCCACGAGTGTGATGTTTCTGGAAGGTCCACACTACCCTGAAGAGATGACAGAGTGATTTTGGCATATTCTGTGCAGGCTTACACAAATAGAAGATCTGATATTAAGGATTCTCAATTTAGTAAAAAACCAGATCTACTAGGCTAGAATTCCACTCAAAGTTCCATATGGAAATAACCCAGTTTTGAACAGAGAACGCAATTACCAGGTAGGCCAGAGATACAGTCCTTTCTCCAGTAAGTGGTCTGTTTAAATCCAAGATGGACTTTTGTACATCACCATGTGGATCTGACTTGATGGTCAGATCTCTTATTTCTATATGACACTGAAACAGCTAAGAGAAAGTGCACTTCTACTCTTAGTGTGACTGTAACTGCATAGTGACCGGAGAGGTCTGCACTGTCCTTGCCTTTTAGCATAAAGCAGTCACCTAGTGCCTGCACGCTTATGCTGGCATCTGTTGGCTGGTAGTATTATTACAGTAGTGTAAGTACTCAATGCTAAGACATTGTTGACAGAGGACAAGTTATGGTTATTCCTTTCATTCAAATAACAACCTTCTCTAAATTAGCTACAAGTGACCACGATGAAGAAATTCATGGGTTCCCTCAGGCTCCAATGATAAAACAGATGACATGATAAAGAAAGGACGGTATCAGTTTCCCGATACAGAAACCACAGATGTGTTACTTGTAGATTTTGCGATTTGTGCATGTCTGCATGGGCACAGTTGACCTATGGTCAGTTACAGCATGATGGCTATCAGCGCTACAATACGTGAACAAGGAAAGAATAGCTCATTCTGCCATTAGGTAAGTTATACAGGCAGTAAGAGATGGAATTAGTCACAAATCTTAATTCTGTTCTATTACAATGCCATGCTAAAAGAAAAATGCTTTGCCCAAGGCAAGCACTAAGTCTGGTATCTAAGGCACTGTTCTTCTGTTTCAAAGTTTACTTAAACAATACATTTAGCTTTTGCTCAGATGTTATTAACTAATAAGTCAAGGTTGGAAGCTTGAGTCAAGTGTGATAAAAGAATCTGGTTGAGTGGCAGGCAGCTAAGTTTTCTACATGCCAGGAGCAGGATCTGTTCACACAATAAATCACCACTCTGATAAACTGTCCTTAACTTACAATTCCAGATGGAAGACTTCAAATCAGGCCAGTGATTCAGCAGCACTGCTAATAATTGAGATGACTTTTTTTATTGCAAACTATAACCGTATTGGTAAGATTAGAATTGTGCTGTGTTTTGCTATTTCTTTTAAAAATTATGGAGGATTAAAAATAATAATTAGAGTATTCTGTGTGTTTATTGGTCATGTAGACTTGTGTTGGATCTATAGCACACCACGTTTACAAACACCAGAACATTAGATGTGATCAGATCCACAGTTGCTACAGCCAGAAAAAGTTGTCTCTCTCTTGCATAGAAAAAAATGAACAGTTTTAATGAAAAGGTATTGTGTAGCAACGGAGAACATTCACTGGGGGTTCTTGCAATCATATGTGGTGTGCTCGTACAGGCAGTAACATTCATTATTTCACCAATATTGTTGACCTTCGCAGCAGCTTTTTACGCCATTCCTTTTGACCACACCTGAGGAATATGTGCTCTGCTATGGTCGTGTCAAACCAGTACAAAGTCTTTAGTATATACAGTCTTGGAGCAAGCAGTGATGGAAATAACAAATAGTTAAAAACCTTCGTTTTACAGCTAAGGGACTGATGCACCAAAATCAGGTTATCTCCCGCAGTCAGAAAAAGACTTGCAGAATGGATCTAGATTTTCAGAATCCCCTTTTGGCACTGTAATCACTGAAGTCTCATTATATTCACAATTCCTGTCAGGTCCTGTCATTTGTGCAATTACCTAGACAAAAAGTATTCCTCCTTCTTCTCACTATGGATTTCAATTACAAATTTGGTGATGTGCCACTTGAACTCTTGCTAATGATCACAGTGTTTGTTGATCTTTTTATCTAGCTATGGTAGCTGTATATAGTGCAATAATTAGGTGTTCAGCTCATTTGAATGATTGTGCTAAGATTTTAAATGTCACCATGTGCTTTTTAATAGGAATAAGTACTTTTATGTAGGAACGACAAAGCTTGCTACCAACACCTAAATAACCCCTGGAACTGCTGAAAACTATTATGATCTGTGCTGCCAAAATACGGACAGGTAATCTGTCATGCATCAACCAGAGATGTCTGGACAACAGCAAAAGTGAACAGAGGATCCAGAAAGTCTGGTGTTGTAGGTCTGTGTCTCAGCTCCATATGACAATTACTTCTTTCTCCATCTGTGCATAAGGTTTCACTTTATGTTTATTCTCAAATGGGAGTGAAGAAAACCCAAATTAGTTTATTAATCTTCCTTTGTCTTAAAAACTAGAAACATCTGCTTGAGACATCAGTAACTTTTTAGTGGAGTTTGGCCCAGGTTGATGAGGTGTACTCCACTACTAAAGCACTACAAGCAAAAAGGTTTATTTAGGGGCTTTCATGAGATCTAATGATTACTGAGTAGTGAAAATGAGGCATAAATCCAAAAATTTCTCACCTACTTCACACATTTGCATCAATCACACTTTTACAGACGCTATTGCAGGAAGCTAGTCAGTGATGCTGAGGTCTATATCAGGAGACAAACCAAGAGGTGAGTGTCTGGAGGCAGCATGGTTACCTGTGCTACGCAACACACTGGATATTGCCATGATACCCCAGCCAGGCTTTGGGCCTCAAGACTGCTGCTGCCTTATCTGCACTGAGGGTGGCAGCGAACTATCAGACTCCCAGTCTCTGAGGGAGCTTTCGAATGCTCCCATGAAGGTTGAGGCCAGGTCCCTGCCTGACACATACCCCTCCTCTGTCAGTGCCTTGCAGCAAACCTGGGCTGAGTTGCCTTTAGTCAAGGCAACTTGCCATATTTCTTCCCAGGGCCCCTCAGCTTCTGCCTCACGCCCTCCTGCCTCCAAAGGCAGGCAGACAGCTCATGCATCGCCCACAGCCTGCAAAGAAATAGCCATTGCGCAAGGGACAACGCCAGGGCTGATGTCGGAGGAGTCCTGTCTATGCAGACACAAGTGTGTATTATCCGTTGGCTCAGCTTATGCTTTGCTTGTACATAATGGCAGAGGGAGCATGTGAAGCCTCTGGTTTGTTCAGGGTCTGCTTTAAACTAAATACCTTCATGGCTTGCTGTTTTGTAAATGCTGGTGATGGGCTATAGTGTTTCAATTACCTGTTCACAGCGAGAGGTCTAATCATGATGCCTGTGAATCCCCATCACTTCTGGCCCCTGCTGTGCCCGAGTCAGTGGGAGTCCCAGCAGCACAAATGTTTATCTCCGCACAAGCTTCATCTCTGTCTTTGTTTTGCCTCATTTATAAAAATCTTACTTTAAAGTAAATGACACACAATCAGTAAAGGGGAAATTAATCACACTGGAACCAAACTTCTGACACTGAGTTTTAAAGGAAACGAGAGACTGATCAGAGGATGGTCCTACAGAGAGTGGATGTCAGCACGTTAGCAATAAAATCTTTTTGTCTCAGACAGAAAGCATTTTCCCTGTCTGGTGTTTCCTGTACTCTGCTGAGCACGGCAGATCCCCTGGGATCTTTAGGATGCCACAGAGGAGTATAACTTTTAATCAAATCTTTCTGTGCCAGTCTGGGGTCATTGTCTCTCTTGTGAAGGATCCGTTTGTCCTGATTAAGGTATTACAAGAAGTCATTTAAAGGACAAATAAATGACAAGACAGTTTATAAGTGAAGGGTAAACCATGTGCTGAGCAGGCTATAATTAGTTCCTTCTACTAATGTGTTAGGTGTTGCTGTATTTCACACCCCTAATAATTAAATGCTTAGTAACACAGTGCTGGATGAGAATTTTAAAAAAATCCATAGGCCAGACTGGGGACTTTTCTCAAGGTTTTCTGAGAGCAAGCAGGGAAGAGACATTGTAGCACTAGTGGTAGTGCAAAGTTTCTCAATTCAGTTCAAAAGCCGCTATCACCTTCAAAGAAACTGAAGACAGGCTTTTGCTTTCTTAACACGTGCTGATGCTAAAGACTGGGAATAATGAGAGAATTATGCTGTTCCAATGTGGCTTTCCATTTTAGCCTGTAATTGCAGTTGGATGGGAAAGCTGGTGATTGGGGAAAAGTGAGGGAAGACACATGCAGAGCACAGGCAGGCAGATGCCTCCTGTTATTTCACACTTTTTAAAAGTGATGAGGAGTCTTTAAAATGGAAACCTCTACTCTCCTGTGCTAACCCTGTTAGTGAAACGTGGCACATTGACCTGGATCTGACCAGGATACTTTCTTGGTGTCTAGAATAACATAATTCCCAATGTCTACCATAATTACTTAATTCTTTCCTGAATGCACATTTCTTAGAGAATAGTACATTTCTCAAGAAACAGAAGGCACTTGGAAAATATAAAATATAATATTTCAGATGCCCACTTTGTTTCGCTTAACACTTGTGGTAGGAATCTACTATTTCCAGTTAGCCTATGAGATGTGAACTGAAACTCGAAACTCACAAAACGTGTTTTACTCTGAAGGATGAATCTCTACATTTCTTCTGCCCTGCCTGTGACACTTCTCTCCTGCTGAGGATGTGGCAGGAAACCCCAGTTTGCAAGATAACCATTCTATACTATGGAAAATGAAGCAAACTGAGGTTACAGGAGATGGTGGAGGCCCTTCAGGCTTCTTCCCTGTCCCATAGAAACATGTAATTACCCAATGTGAGATGTGGCAACAGTGATTAAATGAATATACAGAATAGCAAAGCTAAAATGTCCAGAAGCT